GGCCCAGCCTCTTAAGCGCCAGGATGTCTGAAGCTGCCGAGGCCGTGCGCCGAGCTACCTCAGCCGCGCGCCCAAGCGAAAAGAATTTCAAACCCACCTCTCCTTCAGGCCCAATCAGCTTGGTAGCAGAGGCCATGCCACCTCCAACACGAGCGAGGGCGAGGAGGAGGGCATGGGCAGGGTTGTTACACTTGCCCCACGGAGACTTCTGCCTGAGAAACGAGTGACCCCCCTCCAGAACCACCTCCAAGACCCCCTCAGACGGCAGAGAGCTCTCCAAGCAGGCAGTCCACGCTTTGACTACTTCACCCCTTACCTTCAGACTTCAGAGCAGCAGCCCTCAGACCACTGAGTTTCCAATCAACAATTCCTGTCACCGCGGAGCCCCGGATGGCCGTAGCCGTGGGGGAGCAACGAAAAAACCTTCTCAACCTTGGCGCCCGCCGCTCTCAAAATATGGACTCGGTCCGCAGACTTCTGAGCTCTAGCAAGACGCTTGTTTTGCTCCACAACGCTGCGCAGCACGCCTGGCGAGCCATCTCCGCCGAGGCAGCGGAGGCTCCTGGCGCGCTCGAGCTCGCCCTCCCAGGACGAGGCGAGGACGCTGGCGAGCTCGACGTCGCCTGTGAGCCAGCCAGTCTTGTCCCAGTTGACCTGCAGCTTCATCTCCGAGAGACCCTCGACCACAAACCGAAGAGCAGCAAGTTGCTGTTCCCCAACGAGGCGCGCAGTGCCGAGTGCTTGCAGCATCTGGTCATCCACAAGCGACTGCGCTCTCACCAGAGGATGCCCCCTCGCCTGCTCCATCAACAGCGCGTGAACCATCCGCTTCGCGAGCCCGAGCGCACAGCTGCAGCCCGCAGCGATCGTGCCACTGGCATGCACCACCACCAAGAGGGCCCCCTGGCACTGTGCTCTTCGCCCAAGCCTGTACGCACAGCAGAGCGCCCTCAAGAGTGCCAGGGGGAACTGCGTCGCCTTCGCCTCGCGAAGAAGAGTAGCATGCGACGCGTGCTCGTAGTACTTGCTGAGGTCCAGCACAGCCGCGCCCGAAGCCATGCTGTCCACCTGCACGCAGCACGCGGCGCCCAGCTCGATCGCACGTCCTGCCCAGGCCTCCCCAGTAGAAATCGCCCTCCAGCTGCCTCTCCCACTTGGCCACCAGCGGCTGCCTCAGGCGACTCCATAGCCGCAGCCACAGGCAATTGAGCACGATCGGTCGCACTCCCCCCCCCCCCAGGTGGAGGCTTGGGCAGGAAAGATATCAGCATGAGAAAGATGCGCATGTCGATCGGGTTCCGCTCCCACGCGCGCAGCGCATCCAGGAACCTCGACTGGTTGCTCTGTGGCAGCCACCGCAGCTGCCTGGGATGGAACTTGTCCCAGCCCAATCCTGCCCTGTCGCTGTATGTATCGACCACCTCCCTCAGGTTCTGCAGCGTCAACGGCAGCTCCTCGACGTCGAACTCGGCACCTCGCCAAGTGTCGGGATGAGCTTCATCCTGTCGAAGCTTGTGCTGCCACAGCGGGCCCCGCTGCTGCGTGAGCTTATTCATGGCCGCGTCGCCGCCCAGGGGCATGGGCTGCTCCTGCTCCTCGTCCAGCACCTCGAACACTGACGGTTGGACCTGATGACCAGCGCGAATGAAGCCGAAGGCCGCTCTGCCGCCCTTCTCCTGGGCAGCTGCGCATGCCCGCGCCTTCCACTCGCTCTGGTAGGCCTGCGCTGCCGCAGCTGCGGCAGGCGGTCGCCGAGCGCCTCCAGCATGTAACCGGCAGCTGCGGCGCTGCCCGACCGCAGCACCGCGACCACCTTGGCGATAGACATCTTCGCCAAGGCCCCAGGTGGACGGCCGCCAGTCGCCCTCGATCACGGCGCCATCGATGACCTGCAGCTGCCTGTTGAGACAAGAGAACCGTCCCCAGCCTCGCTCCAGCATGTAGGCCTTCTGTTGCGCTGTTCGCCGAGCTGCTGATGTCAGGGGCGCCACTCCCCTGAACTCAAGCGACGACCGAGCTTTGAACTGCCTGCTCCATTCCTGTGCCAGAGGCACCCTCTTGAGCTTCAGCCCAGCTGCTCGCCCACGACGCCTCTCGTAGACATCGTGCAGCTGGCAGAGGTAGTCCTCTGCGTGCATGAACCAACACTCAGCGGCCTTTTGGATGTCCCACGGCTCCGTACCCGGCGCCCAGAGCCATTCGGAATCATCAACTTCTCGAGGCGCAGGCCGAGCAGGGGGGGAAGCTGAAGGGGGAACCCCTTAGGTCCATCTGCTGCCGTGACAGTAGCCCTCGCACGTAGCCCCCGCAGCTTGAGCAAGACGGGAACGTGCGCGCAGACCGGCGCGCCCAACACCGGGATTACCTCCATGCCACTGCTCGCAAGAAATTGAAAGCATATGAAGAAACCCAGCTTCCTGCCACCACAAGTGGCCTCGTCCGTGGCCGCGGCAACTCCACGAGCACGCCGTGCCCACTCCTGGAGGTCCTGCGGCTCCATGTTCTAGCCGCCGCCAGCTATCCATGGCCCTGGAAGCAGGGGCGCCAGCTGCAGAAAACCTCCTAGATACGATACGTTCGGCTCAGTCATGCCTATCTTCGTCGTCGAGTACACCGAGATGGCATAGACTGGCACAGCGAGCCCTGTGTCGACGGCCGCAACCTGACATCGGCTGCCAGGAAGATCGCGCCGAAAGGATGCTGGCACTTCCCGTGCAATCACAGGCGCAAGCGAGGAGATGGCAACACCTGCAGAGGACTCCATCACACCTTCACCCGTGCTGTCAGCTTTGCTTATCACCAACTGCCCTCCAGACATATTGCTCCCAGCCCGTCTCTTTGCCGAGCTGGGCTGCTTGTCAAACTCGAGCCGATGCTCCTGGAACAGAAAAACGTTGGGCGCCTCTCTGTTTGCATCAGCTTCCGCATACCATGCACACAAGTCCTGAGCCTTCGACCAGTGCGTGACATTGGACGACACCATTGCCAGGTCTTCCAGCTCGGTACTCTGACTGCCCAGCTGCCTCTTCTCGAAGTCCGCTTCGAGCGCCAGGGGGGATGAGAGGCCCACCTGCTTGAGAGATCCAGTCTTCGATAGACCGCTGGCCCCTGGAGGTCGGCACCCTCTGGCCGCCAAGGGGGAGCTGGGTGGTGCCGAGCAGTGCATGCCCAGGGGCTGGTACCCTCTAGCACCACCAATTCTCCCGCGGGCGGCTGAGCAGCGCGTGCCTCCAGGAAGCTCCCCTGCAGCGCCACCTCCGCTAAAGCCCTGGCCTGGTGGTAGTCCGAGCCTTCTTGGCGGGCATGAGGCACTCCTGGAACCGCTCGAGCTTCTCGCGACCCTCAGGCTTGGCAGGGTCGCACTCGGGGAAACCTGCGGCTTTGAGGCGCTCAGGCAAGCTGGGGTCGTCCCAGTCGAACTGCTCGTCGCCGTCCTCGTCGCCTGCAGCGCCGCCAGCACCACTGTCAGGAACACCGCCGCCAGCTGCTTGACCCGCAGCCTCAGCGGACGCCTGCTCCTGCTGCTTGGCCTGCTCCGCGAGCTTGGTCTTAATGGCAGTGGCCTCCTCTTCGAGAACCGAGCCAAAGACCATGAGCGGGGCCGCCGGCCCCACCAGGTGCTCCGAGGTCTTGAGCTTGCCCAGCACCTCCTGCACCAGGCTGAGAAGCTCGCTGGCCGTGCCGACGTCGCTCTTGCCCTCCGCGACCTTCCCGAGGACGGGAACAGCGTTGGCGATCTCCTTCTTCTTGATGACCGCGCTGATCTCCGCCAGCGCCTCACGATGCTGCTTCTGGCATTCCCGCTCCTGATCCAGGTCCGCCTGCTTGGCCGCCAGCGCTTCCCGCGCAAGCTGCACCCGCTCGGTGGTTTTCTCGAGTTGTTTCTCCTTCTTGGCCCTGCGCAGGCGTAGGTCTTGCAGGGACTTAGCAGACAAGTCCGCCTTCGCAACCACACCCATGTTTTCATCCACTTCAACTGGCACAAGCGTCGCTGGCGCCGCCTGTGCTTGACCTTCCGACATGCCGTGCTTTGCAGGGTTAGCGAGCAGCGCCTGCTGGAGCTCCCGCCTCGCCTGCAACATCGCCTCCTCAATGATCTGCGCCACCGTGCGGGTGGACGAGGCGGGGGGCCCTTGCCCCAGCTGCCTCCTGCCTTCGGCGGCACTGCCGTGGGCGGCTCCTGAGTCCCGTGAGCTGCGATTGCCTCGAGGGTCCAGGGCGGCGCCTTCTTCCCACACTGCTGGCGCTGCGTGCGCCAGCCACGATTCTTGTTCCCGCCGCAACTGCCATTGCACTTCCACTGGCGAAACGGCGGAGGCGCATCGCGGCGGCTGCTGGGTGCCATGCAACTGGCCCGTGACAGCTATGCCACTTCCAATCGCGCTGCCAAAGGTCGGTGACCTGGAAATGGCTGGAGGAGGAGGAGGAGGAGGAGGAGGAGGAGGAGGGAGGAGGGAGGAGGGAGGAGGGAGGCTTTTTGACTGCACTTAGCTCGTTGCAAGTAGCTTGAGCGGGGCGGCCGCAGGTCGGCTAGGCGGCAGACAGAGCCCGCCTAGCGGGCACTACAAAGGATCTCCGCTCCTGGTCCGTCCGCAAGCAAAAGCGATTCTTCGCCATTGGACCTGCATGTTGGGCGGGGGAGGTATTGGCACCGAAGGGGAGGGAGGGGGAATATATGAGGAAGAGAAGGGATCGGTGCCGTGCGAGAGTCACTAAGCGCGCCAGCTAGGCGTTGCCCTATGCGGGCAGCGCTGAAAGACCGAAGAGCAGCACAGCTGGCCTCAGAAACGGCCACCTGGGAGCATGGCTTAGCCATGGATATGAGCGGGGTGAGTAGGAAGAGAGCCAAAATGGCAGTGCCGCGCTGTAGGGCGGCAGTGTCGGAGCGGACCAGGAGGGAGAGGCTGGCATTGCCGCCTAGAGACCTAGGAAGCCCCATCGGAAACGCACGTGACCGGTAAGGGGGGCAGGTAAGAGAATGCCTGTGCTGTACTTGGCTTCTTAGTGTTAGCGGGATTCGCCGACACGTGGTAAGAGGAGGAGGGAGGAACTCTAGGGGGGGTGAAGGAGTATCTTGCACAGCCAAGAAGCACTAAGGCGAGGTAGCTGTCCGCAGCAGGTGCGCACCTCTGACGGGCAGCATTAGCCGAGAGATGCTCGGCAGGAGGGAGGGGGGGTTCCCCGGAGGATGCTCTGCCAAGGAGCTGCCGTGAGCGGAAAAGGCCATTTGCGCCGAAGACGGCCGCATGGAGACCAGCTATATGCCAAGACGGTGCAACGTATGACATAACATTGCATTGAAAAATGCGTTGCTAGCATTGTCTGGCCGGTCGTGCCGAGGAAGAGGGAGGAATCGAGTAAACTGCCATGGCATTGTCTGTAGGACCAATCTGCGGAAGATGACTGGTAGCGCCTGCGGCTTCGCCGAGACCTGCAAACTTGAGGCGGAGTGCCGCTGAGACAAGTGCGTGACAGGTGCATGCGCACTGCGCCGAGTCGGAAGCCACAGGGCTGCTGAAAGCTGTCTACGGTCGCTGTCCAAAAATCCTGACGCCGAATGTGGTGTGGCCCCTCGGCCTGGTGTGCGAATGACCCTGGACATGGAGCGTACTGCACGGCACGTAATACGTAATGCGCGAGGAAAGGACCAGGAGGAGGGAGTGCCAAGGGGCAAAAAAGAGGATCGAGGAGATGCACTGAGTGGGCTTTCAGTGTCAACCGTCAACGCATATCGGCTTGTGCGCGTAAAGCGGCTGAGCCACGCAGTGCACGTAAGAGTGCTGCGACCTAGCATCGAGCATTGGCTTGGCCTTACCAGAGGCCTTCGCGCTCTGGGCGGCCTCGGCCGAGCGTCCTAGCACTGTTGCGAACTGTGCTGTTCCCGGCGGCCCTCGCTGTCGGGCGGACGCAAATGCAAAGTGTGGCATGCCGCTCAATGGCAAAAGCGCTCATAGGACGATGACCGTACCCTAGATCCAAAACTGGACATGTGATGCCGATAAGGCAGGCGGCGAGAGGCGCTCGAGCGTGAGCACAGAGCAAAGAGCAGAGAGCTGTGCATGGGATGCACATGCCTGTTCCGTGTTTGTGTGACGCTTGTCCATGCGAGTACCTGGCCATTTAAGGGTGAAACACGGGACGAACCAAGGCGGAGGAGGAGGATGGACAGGTGAACGAATATGGTAGACAAAAGCGCAAATACAGGTGCACAGGAGGAAAGAAGGGAGAGAGAGGCACGGCGTGAGCACGGCGTCATCGCATCGCGCCGACCCTGACGGGCAAGCGACCCAGCGGTAGCCGGCTTTTGGGCCAGAATACTAAAGCCGCCTCGAGCGGAGAGCCCTCAGGGCTGGGTGCACGAGGCCGTGAGACTCGAGGGGCGCCGATGCTAGCTCTTGTTCGCTGCGGCCGGCTGCCTCGGGCCGGTGGGCTAAGTGCTTACGCGGGCGCAGTGTGAGACGACTCACGTCTGTGCTGCCTCTGAGTCTTCAGCATCAGAGGACGGAGGCAGATCCCAATAGGGGCGCCCCAGAGGCAACGAAGGAGCGGTTGCGGTAGCCATCCGTGCGGCAGCCGCCGCGTCCAGTGCCGCTCGCGCAGGAGTGCTAGTGAAAAAAGGCCGGGGACTGCCAGGTCGTGGCGGTCTCAGAGCCGTGGGGCACGGCTGTGGCGCCCCGGACATTGAGACCGCCTGCGCCCTCGGAGAGGCTGCTGAAAACCTGTGCGTGGCTGAGGGCTGCGTGGAGGCCCTAGGCTGCTGCACGGTCGCCGGCGTATGCACTGGCACTGCTGGCGTATGTACCGGCACAGGTACTGGCACAGGTAATGGCTGAGGCACTGCTGGCGTATATACTGGCACTGCTGGAGCTGGGACTGCTGGCGTATGTACTGGCACTGCTGGCATTGGGATTGCTGACATTTGTACTGGCGCTACTGGCATATGCACTGCTGGCGTATGTACTGGCACTGCTGGCGAATGCGGAATTGGCACTGCTGGTATTGGTACTGGCTCAGGTACTGGCACAGGTACTGGCACTGGTACTGGCTCAGGTACTGGCGCTGGTACTGGTGAGGCGGCGCGCGCTACGGGGGCAGGCTGCGGTGCCCGCTCGGCTGCGGCCGTGGACAGAAGAGCCGCATGAAGCGCGCCTCCCAGCCGGGAGCTGCACGAGCCGCGATGCGCCAGCGCGTCGAAGGCCCGCAGCAGGCCCTGCACCGCTCGCGCGTCGGCGCGGCGGTACTGCTCACGCCGGGCCGCGGCACTGCGGGGGGGCCTGCGACGGGGCCGGGCCGCCCGCTCGGGGGAATCCATGGCGCGCCCGCTGAGAGGGGCAGGGGGGGGAAAGGAGGAAGCGGCGCGGGGGGGCGCCCGTGGCGCTGGCTGGCAGAGCAGATGCTCGGGCCAGCTTGCGCTGGAGGAGGGAGGAGGGAGGAGGGAGGAGGAGGAGGAGGAGGAGGAGGAGAGGAGGAGAGGAGGAGGAGGAGGAGGAGAGAAGAGCG